GATCTGAAGTTGATCCCGGCAGTATTCTTCTAGGATATTACTCGAATTCCACGGAATCTAGAACGCGTTGAATATTGTACGGGCTTCCCATCACTCATTATGTGAGCCTTACATCCTTTAGGACATTAATCTGTGAGTGATATTTTCTTAAACACGTGTTGCCAGCAACGACATCATAGTTTCTAAGTATTAGGGTGAATACTAAGATAAAATGAACTGCTTTGGATTTGAAAAACATAATAGAATTAGGAATCAAATCTGTCTTTTTTTTAAGCGTGTTTGCCACATCATGGCATATTTAGGAGTAGTTAACGGAGTTAATTTTGGTATTCGAATAACGATATCTAAGTAGCGCGAGGCGTATAATAAATATGTATAAATAATGTATTGCACTTCGCCGAAAAAAATATTTGATTCTAGTGCATTCACGTAAACATAATGAATCATTTTATACTTTTAACTTAGTTACTCTCTGCAAAGCCATGAATAGGTACTTACAATACCGAGGTGCAAAAAAACACAACAGAATACGCATCACTCAAACTGACTCGAACAAATACACAGGTTCACTAAATACACAAACACACTACCTGGAAAATTTGCCAATTTAAATTAGCATTATTTTTTTTAATTTTAATAAATTGATTAAGGCTTGTTATGTAGGCAACCTCAGAAGACACCTCTATTTACTCCTCTTCTTACGGGCTAAAGATGTATTGCTGACAGGCGGTTGAAGTTATTTTATTTATTTATTTCTTTACAAATACTGCCAATCCCTATCAGGGATCGTATCAGGGTGCAAAGTAACACACAACGAAGCGTTAAAGTACCGAAAAGTTACTCATTCAAAACACAAAGCGGAAATAGATGCACTTACAGTCTTGGTTAATAACTTCGTAAGGAAGCCCATTCTATTCTAAAATCGTTCGAGGAAAACGTGAGAATTTGAAACTATTGATATGCGATTGGTAAGGTGAAATGATAAGTGGGGTTCTTCCTCGGGTACCGTTACCAGTAGAGGAAGTGATATATTCGTAAACGTTAATTTTATACTGCCCCTTAATTAATTGAAATAAAAAAAAACGAAGTCTGCATATACGGTTTCGTTCTTGAACCGGGACAAACTCCAATTTTTTTTTTAAGCTCGTGAATTTCGATGACGGTATTATTAGTCTAAACTTTCTGCCAGAACAAATTACGTCGCAAATTTCTTAATTTTGTTTGTCATTGAAAAACGTTACTCAGGGTATCCGATACCTATATCAGCCGTCACTCCAGAATTAAATAGGGTAGAGTACAAGAAAGGCTAACGGATCAGCAGCACTACTTTCCGAGTTTTTATCATGTACTTTGTACGCATTGGTTTCTGTGAGCACAAGAGTTTCATGTACGGCCTATTTTGATTAACTCTGTCTAGAAATTCTCTTCAATGTTATGTTTTTTTATGTTGTTGTTTTCGCGGTTTTTTTTTTGTAAGTTCTGCGCAGACTGTGGTTTTCTTCAGAAAATAACAGAATGAAGAATTTGTATTTTGATCTTTAAAGTGTTTATATACCTAGGTATATGTATACATTTGACAAGCCGCCCCCGGCAAGAAAATGCGGCAAACGAATTTTCGGCAGACTGGGCCACTATACCCTCCTCTTTTCCCGGATTTTGCTGCATATACAATCGTAATAAATGCACGTATTTACATAGCAGCACAATATAAAATCCCTTTTGTGTATATCCAATATTGATATTGCAGAAGCAACATGATATTATGCAAATGTGCCCTAGCAATTTTGAAAGGTCACTAGCATTATTTGATACAACAGTGGGAGGCAAAATCACCATGCACAATAATTATGGTACTCACGTGGTTGCCTATATCAAGAAAGTACAGAAAAGAGGTGTTAAAGTGCGCACAAATACTACTATGTAAAGATTTAAATACAGCTCAATTTCTGCAACACGCCATATATCTCGAAGGTCTTCAAACCTTGCTTTTATAGTTGTGAAAAATTAATCTGGAATCACTCTAGGATTTGAAAATACGGAATCATGCAGGAATCCCACTAATTTAATTCCGCGTTCGTTTAGAGCAAATGCATCCTTCCTCATTTCATTAATTAATTCATTAAGTTTTCATTTTAAAGATATGATTTCATTCTAGGGCATAAGACTCACCCTATTATTTCCCGAACATCTCTAACCTAAAAATCGCATTATATGTAAACAGTGAAAACGTTTGCTACAAATAGCATATTTTGCGCGGTCATGTTGCATTCTTGCAGAATAAATACCGGCAGATGGTTATGCTTTTTTTTTGTATAAAAAAAAGCCGCTTTTTTTTTTTAACTTACGAATTATTGATATTTTCTACACAAATAATTAAAAGTTGTACATTTTATACAGTCATAGTTGAGCTCGAATAAACATGAAACCTGTTATGCTAATAAATAGGGGTTACTTTAATGAGCCTCGCGAATGAGTACAACCAGGATAACCACACGTAAACAGTCCCACAGTGCCAGTGCGTAAATCTGGCCACACAAAACACGAAATAAAAAACGATCACACAAAGCGTACGGCGATTGACAGCGATAGCTGCTGCGTTGCGAAAAGACAAGTTGAAAATTTGCTTCAGTCACTGTGCTGCATAGTGTTTTCAAAGGGTTCCTTGCTTTCAGTGAAATTGATGTAGCAGACGTGTGTGAGGAGATGTGTGTTTTGGTGGAACGATTGGGAGAGCTGTGTGTGCTAACAAAAAACACGAAGTTCTTTTATGCTTATTTATAGAGCCCTGCATATCCGCGGATTATCTGCAGATATCCGCGGATATCTCCAGTAAGCGGGCGGATGCGAATAAAAATTGGACAAATTTTGGCGGATTGCTAATCGAATGCGGATGTCAGGGGCTGCAGATGCGGATATCCGTGGATCCGGATCTAAATTTTTGCCCGGTGGCATTCAGTTCGTCGACTGACGTTTGGTCTACAGATCGTTTCATAGACATGCGACGTTTGATTGAAAGGCTTCTCGTGTTCGTCTCATCGAAAAACCTGAAACGTTTTGTGGCACACAACCCTGCTATTTTCGTAACAAACTTTTCGCGTCTCGCCTGGATTACAGGGGGGAGGGGGGTATGGTTTGGTTAAGCACGACTTAGTGAATCGCGCGGTAGCTTTTTGCGGCTTAGTGAAGAAATGCGTTGTTAACAAAACGTCCCAGAGGCATGCGCCCACAAAACGTACAGCGTCGACGAACCGTGTGTCCACGAAACATGTTTTTCCACAAAACGCGGTTCGAAGAAACATCAGGGATCCTAAGAAAGATCTGATTCTCACTGAAGATCACTTCAGTTTGTGCGTTTCCTCTCGTCAAAAATGCTATCTATAGAAAAAGTAAAGAATGCAGGGCTTCAATCGTCCCGATAAAGCTAGTACATTGGCAGAGAAAGAGCGCAAACTTTCCCCGGGCAAAGAAAACCTCAAACGTACAAGTCACAAGAAAGTAGAAGGAACGTCCCCCTCTCCGCAAAGAGCAATTTGGTCATGATTTCCAAAAACAAAAGAAGTGTCTCAACATCCTTTTTGTGCACTTCCTCTGGGCAGTGTGTCGCGTACTCCTAGGGCGATCACCGTAACTCAGATCATCTTTCCTTAGACGCGCAGTGTCTCGGGAAGGCTGATCGCCTTTAATATAAGTACGATGAAACTGATAGCGATAAAATGACATCTCGTTTGAATGGTGACCCAACGATTTCTTTGTACAAAGATAAGCAAACAACTTGAAAAGTGCTTTTTGTATATTTTCTTTTCAATCTCGCTTGATGTTATGATATACAATTAATGCCTGGATTGTGAGTCGGATCTGGTTTCACATTTTGCGGATGCGGTTCGGATACAGATACAAAGTATGCGGATGCGGATCGGATATGAATACAATAGTGTGAAAAGTTCGCGTATGCGGTTCGGAAGCGGATAAAAAGTCAGCGGATGCGGATAATCAAACTGTTATCCGCGACGGGTATTTAGAACGGACGGGCCCTTTTCCGCGCCTGCGGCGTAGGAAGCGAAAGTAAGTTCACGAGTTATTCTGTTGAGGCACGGAAAGCACACGGGAACGGAACCTGGGCGACGGGAGTGAAGAAGCGAGGGAGCGTGTCCGCACAGCTACGACCACGTGGGTATTTCGCAACCGCGGCTGCCGGAGGGGTGAGGAGGAGGAGGTTAGGGGAAGTGGGAGTGTCGCCGGATCACGAACAATGGCGGCCTGCAGGAGGGAAGGGACGGGGTAGCGAAAGAGTGCCTTGCCGCGTGTGAGAAACGACGGGGGGAGGAAGGGAAGTGCCAATGCTGTAGAGCGAAACTTTGCGTTCGTGCAAGAGCTTTTTATCTTTTTTTTTCTTTTTTTGACGGGAAATGGTATTAATAGCACAGCTGCGAATTATGTAAGAAAGCAAATGCAATGAGAAGCTCGTGTCGTCCCTTAACTTGTAGCTTAGTAATTCGCTTGTTTCATCACTTCCGCCAAAATGCTTATCAGTTCCTTGAAACAAATGTATCACTCTTCTTGATTTTACAGCCTTCTTGACCAGGGTAGCTCACTCTCCTCATCCCCTGAGCTGGTATAAACAATAGCACCTCGAAAACAAGTACTGCGAGTTACGTCATCATTAGTGGATCCCCGTCCCACCCCAAGCGAGAAATGTGCTGAACCTTGACGAGAGTACGCCGTAAAGCGCTGGACGCGTGCGTCTTGGCTTCTCTATGTGCTAGCATCTCGTTTTTAGACGCTTCAAGACGCACTGCCGGTGACGCGGACATGAGACAGACGGCGCCGCCTGAATGCAGTGGTGACGACATTTTTTGGCGGAAGTGGTGGTAGTTGAACACAGACCAGTGTTACGTCTGCGTTGATGGTTACAGTCCGAATGCAGGTGTTCTTAGTTATTAGTTGTATACGAACATCACCACAGTTGGACTAACAATCCCTTTTTTTTTTCCCGCCTTCAGCTGGTATCGGGAGCTTGACGGGCGGCTGTCGGACCTAACGCGGGATCCGAGGACGGCCCAAGTGGAAGGATCTCTGTTTCTGTCCGGCCTGGAGGTGAAGGACAGCGGGAAGTACTTCTGCCTAGTCAACAACACCGTCGGCGAAGAACAGGTCCAGACAACGCTTTCCGTGACAGGTGGGGCGAGCGCTGTCGTTCCTTTTGGCGTCTAGTTTGATGTACTCAGAGCCACTTTGTGTTGGGGGTCTACATAAATGTGTATTTATTTTGGCTTGTACCGCTGTCAGGGGCATCAAGAGATGTCTGCAAGAAGAAAAAAAAAAAGAAAGAAAGCGGTCCTGACATGCTTTTAATAAAAAAGCATATATATCAAAAATATTTATAGTAAAGGTAGAAAATAGACACACGGAAGAACGCCAACATCCAACGGATTTAATGTAACATCAAACATCGTCAGACTGTCGATCAACAATTTCTATAGACACCCCCAAGCAATAAGATGAAGGCTCCAATCACTAATCAGACGCAGTCATCAAGAAACACTTCTTTGTTCTGCAGATAAAGGGATGGCATGCTTACGGATGCCATCGTTTTATGCAGGTAGTAGATAGCGGCCATTTTTTTTTTAAATTGTGGGACACCTTGTGCAAATATGGAACCACCTACACTGGCACTTCGCCTGTTTTTTTCTTTTTTTGCGAAATTCGTCGTCGCCCTCGGGTTTATTTTTTATGGGAGCCTTTCACACACACTCGACACTAAGCACTTCGGGTAACCGGCGCACTTGAGGAGTGCCGGTTTCCCGAAGTGCTAAGTATCGAGTGTGTGTGAAAGGCTCACACAAAAAATTGAACGACAGGGCGTCTGGAAGCTACTTCGCGCCACAATACCCCTCAAATGTCAATGACAGACGCCTTTCTGGGAGGGAAATGAGACAAGTTCACACTTTCGGTGAAGGCAGGTCTCGCACTTGTCACACTGCAAAGCAGCGACGGTGTCGTAAAGAGCTCGGCTGCTACGGGGGCACGCAGGACGTGAGCCAGAGAAGGACGACATCTCGAAAGCAAAAAGCAGCAGCAGTAAAATCTCTGGCTGGTAGATGAGGGCGGATCGATTCAGAGTTTCTTTAGACTTAGGGCACAGCCTGCGGCCAAGCTAGTCGAAAGAATGAGAAGCGTAGCCCGTACATGAAAATAATCCACGTAATCATTTGTGTCTCATCGCGATAAGTGAAAAGGCACGGAATTAAAGCATGCCCACAGCACAAAACAAAACCATGAGACACGCAAACGCTGACGTGCGGCGTCTAGGCACTGAATGAATATAATAAAATCCCCATCCCTAATTATTTTTAAAATGAACAAGAGTCGTTTTAAGATATTCAATGAACGGACGGCAATCTTATTTTAAGTTTTTATCTCCATCCTTACAAAGTGATGCAGCCTATATATGTGGGACATCGTTTTTCTCTACCGCGTTCGGGGTTTAAAAGTTGCTCAGCTGTGTGTCAACGGTCAGCACCCTGGTGCAGTCCTGGCTTTTTAAATGTCCCATGAGTTAGCGGAACTCAATTAGGCAAACAACAGGGGTATTTTCTTTGCTGGTCACTCTGTAGTAGAATGAAACTCCAGGATGAAAAATACAAAAACGTAGAGGGAAACGTAGTACTGTTTCATTCTTTAAAATTGAATGTGGCCAAAAACTGCTTTATTTAGATCCAAGAATAATTTCTGTCGGAAACGAATAAGCATAGTGGCACATTACTCAACAAAGTCACAAAATAAGAGATATTTAATTACTAAACGTGTATAATGTGTTGTCATTGATGGAACGCTCTCTCATAACTCCTCTCGAATGACGCAGCACCCCTGAAAGCCGAAGTGCACCCAGCCGTGCAGAAAGCGGACGTAGGGCGCCCGGCCACGTTCAACTGCACCGCGGCAGGTCACCCTGTCCGCTCTGTGTCCTGGTACAAAGACCAGACAAGACTGGGGTCGACCTCGCGGCAGACCCTTCTCGCATCCGGGCACGTTCTCCGCATCGACTCTGTGCTGCGGGAAGACGCAGGGATGTACCAGTGCTACCTGCACAACGAGGCTGATTCTGCGCAAGCGTCGGCTGAGCTCCTTCTCGGAGGTGAGTATACTACGTTTCACTGGAAGTACGAAGGCAGGCAGCGCTATAAATCAAATTCTAGCGATCAAGAAGCACAGAAACTGCATCATCACGGTGATCATTGTTTTGCGCGTTTTGTTTCACCAACTAAACCAATTGCGCCGATTGAATGCGCCGCAATCCTACGCTTTCTTCTGTGCGTGGTTGGTTTATCTGCATCGTGATGGCGATTCCACAAAGACAGCATTTTCAAATGTCGTGACGATGCACTTTCGGCGCCGCTTCAATTGCTACAATGAATCGTAGTGACGGCAAGCGGTCGGTCTTAAAGTTGAAACGGAGAACAGACTTACTCAGTTCACTGACGTCACGCCACTGAGGTGGCGCTGCTGTCGGTACTGCGCATGCGCAAAGGCTTCATTCTTCCCAATCTTGGTTTCTGCGCAAGCGCAGTACTTACATCTGGTGTGGGCAAAGCGGGCTTGTTTGGAAACACTGTGTTGGTGTGTAGACGTCTTGACTTGATGCATATTTCCCAGGGGTCGTCTACACGCATGCCTAGCTGTAGCAGACCCGTCCGTCCGTCATTTTTTATAGTGTCTACGTGACCGTATTAGTGGACGGTAACGGTGTAGAGCTGGTAGTAGTTCAAAGGTTTGATCTGGAACACGCCATACTTCTGCTTTGCCTTTGCTTCAATCATCAATGCAGGAGTAATAGATGAACGAAGAGTTTTAAAGCCATTAAAACCCTTCGTGGTTTGCCGACAGACGGCACTATGCATTTGCGAAAAAGAACCATTACGGTTTTCTTAACTACAACTTAGACATGTTGAACACAGAATATATGTATATATTTAAGAAATATTAACGCGGAATTCACATTTGTTACGTACTCTACTCCCCTTTATGGCTGGGTAACCGTAATGGGATCCTGACGTGTGTAACTAACCCACTACAATAAATAAAAAAATAACGCATATAATCCGGCTTCAATGACATTTCAACCAGATTAATAATTATATTTAAGTTAGGTCTTGTAATAAAAAAAAATATGAAAAACGACGTTTAGTGCCGACAAGCTTGAAGCTTGTGGGGCTCCCAAAAATATATATTAGCCTTTTTTCGTGCTGTCGAAAGGAGAGTTAGAGGCTTAGGCAGAACGATTAAAGTGCTGCATATTGATATGACTAATCCAGGGCTTCAGGAACGGGCGAAAAAATGTGCCCCAGTAGCGGAAGGGAGTAGACTTCCCTTCTCCCAATCTACCTCATTATACCTAGCTTGGCCCGTACACGAACTCTGCATTTCCCGTTTCTTGGCCAGTGTAATATGCAGCTTCATGCCTAAAAATATTAGTTTTTGATTGTTTAAGACGCGTTTACTCTTTAACAATAATAATGAATATTTATAGGGGTTATCTATTTATGATAGCAGATATGTGCAGGACGGAGTGCATAACTTCAGAAATAGTTTAATTTTTTTCTGGCGCTCTGTTTAAGTGACCAAAAGAATGCGCATTTGCCATGCCCATGGCCGCAGCGAGGTCGTAGTGTCCTGCTCCTAAGATCCGGTGCACGAGGTCACTCGGCTAGAGAACAGACGTGAGACTAGAACATATTGCTTTCGTTTTATGATGAATATTTATGAGGGACGCGAAGTCTAGATATGTTTCTCGTCGCACCCGCTGTCGCTTTTTCCGGTGTCAGAGCCGTTGCCCCGCAATGCGGGACTACACTAGGGGTCACGTGGTTACTTGGCTGAACATAGTACGTGTCATGTAATCACGTGACCACAAGATGTGCGTCAGGACACTCCAGGTCATGTGATGTCACGGTGGAACGTCATGGTGTTACGCGACGTGAAGTCACGTGACTCATGGTGCGACGTCGTTGCGACACGTGGCGTAGCAATTTAAAGTGATGGTATTAAATATCACAGCGGTGGGTGACAAGCCGTTGTGTCGCCTGATGCTGTAGTGTGAATAACATTAGTTGTTAACATTTGGTGTCACGGGAAGTCAAGATGATGTGGTATTCGAGAGAGTATTGTTTCACTTCTTTCTTTGTGTCGTCTGAACTTCGAGGCTGTCATGATTCATCTATTATTGTACATTTTACGCCACCTCGTTTATCAAACAATTTACCGTGGATCGTCAATTCAACTGATCATTCCCTAAGCACGTCCGACGAACCGGAGACTTCACGATTATGTTACGTCACGTGAGAGCGTGGCGTGGCATGGCGTAAGAATGTCCGGATCCGCGTTTGGCATATCGCTTATAAAATCTGCGTAGGGGACCTGGGGCGGAAGGGGGTAAGCCAAAAAGTCGTCTTATTAATAATATGTTTAGCTATTTGATTGTGACCCTCGTGTAACCGGACCCTTGTAGATGTGGCCCCCTTCCTGTCTTCAAGCTTCGCGGAGCAGACACTGTCTCCGGGAGCAACGTTGTCTCTCCGCTGTGCGGCCGTTGGAAGTCCAATACCACAGGTGATGCCACCTCAGTGTTTCCTTTTTTTTTTTCATTTGGTGATTGCTCAATAACGATAGCAAAGCTACAAGGGCTGCACTGAAACAAACAGGCGCGTAGAAAGCCATTCATGTGGCTAGTGGAAAGGGATGAAAGGATACTGGGCAGCCATAAGTGCTTTTCAGGATGAACATAGCGAATCTTAGCCGAGAAACACTACTGGCACCATATTGTGAGTATCAGGCCGTGAACTTCGTGATTGGTCTACTTACATTTAGTTTTAGTGCTATATCAGTTTATAATCCCCTAAAAGTAACACATTTTTTTCTTCGATCTGTGTAATTTTGTTGTAAAGTCAAATTCCGCACGCTTGCTCCTTCTTTAGTCACTTATTAATTATTTCCACGTTTATTATTTTATACTCATACACAGTGGTTCCTTCGTCATGATCCGGAAACAGTGAAATTACAGATTAGTCGAGAGCCGGTAAACGCAAAATTCTAATTTCAAATTTCAATATCCGCTGCACTCAGGGAGTTACACCAGTGCTATGTGTGGGATAAAGTGCCAAATAAGATGATTTGATAAACAAATGAAGCATAAGAAATTCGGCAAGCTGGCCTTCGAAGGCAAACACGGATGGATGACGTATGATCAGGCTCCTTTATACAAATAATTAAACCACCCTCACGCTGCTCTCCATCAGATAACTTCACAGGTGGCATGTAAACTTGATAGCAGTTCCTGGGTTAAAAATGGTAATATTAATGGTAATATTTTATTGGCATATAGAAAGAAGCAATACATGCTCAGGTCTGCCTTATCCAGGAAGGCTTGTGTGGCATCACTTGACTGTAGAGCCCATTCCTCACGGTATAAAACAGGTCACAGCGAAAAACACAAAAGTACTAAATGAAGTATTGATTTTTTGGTTGTCATTCAACAGTTTTTAAGCCTTTTTTAGCTTATAGTTAGGAGTTGCTAGCGAAATATAATTAGGTAGTTCATCAAAAATCTTCGGAATATAAAATATATAGTGCTTTCACCATAGCGACTAAAAATGCCCGGCGTTTCGTATCATCCAGTACTCCTAATTTAACGAGTGACTACTCTCTCAATTTTATAATCACTGAATCAAAAGTCTCTAACAACAACAGTTATAAGAAATAGAGAATAGAAACAAGGCAACTTAAAGGAATCGAACAAGATATTACCATGATCAGTTGCTAAAACATAGCGATTATAATCCCAGAAGAAGGGGGAAAGGGGGGACAAAGGACAAACACAAATCTGCAAACAGATTTGCGTTTCTGCTTTGTCTCCCATATTCCCCTTCTCTGGGGATTATCATCGAAGTTCTTGTTCAGCTCGCTTGCACCTTTGCATTAATTGCCTTTCATCAGCTAAAACATAGGCCGCACCAGTTAGCATTCCCTTCAAAATACTATCAATTCTGGTGTGCCACTGACGGGAGCATTTAAAACAAACTAAGAATTTTATTTTATTTTTATATTTTATATGCATAATTTGCTTTTGTGACATTTGTACCCTTTTGCTGATGTTTATTCTATGTAATGCCCCCTATGGGGGTCCCTAAAGTATATAAATAAATAAATAAATAAATAAATAAATAAATAAATAAATAAATAAATAAATATCTAAGAACACTGTATGCCAAAGCATTCATAAGCATTTTCCTAGTGCTATATGAAAGAAACTGTTTGAGGTTCCAGAGCAGATGAATTACACTACTCAGGCGTTTCTACACCGAGAAAAGGTGTGTATTTTATGACAAGTCGTAATAGATGTAGATTCCTTAATGCTTGACAGACGATTCATATTGAACAGGATTACCAGAGCACGCTGCATATTCAGAGCCGTCCAAACTGGCGCTGGTCGGGTTTTAAAGCCGGGCGGTTTTCCAGAAAAAGCAATACTCACCGGATAAGCCCATCAGAGGTGATCACGTGACCTTTCCACCATCCAATCTCCGCCGAACTTCGCGGTCGATATTTTTGGGCTGCAATAAATCTGAAGACCCCCTCCCTCCCTGACGAGCCAAACGAACGTTTCACGTTAAATCTGAGGTGAGCAGAAAGTGAGTTCGAACTTTCATTGTGCTTGTTAAGTTTTAGTCGAGAAGTGCAATCTCGCTAAGTTTAAGAGAAAAAAACGACATACAGGAACTTTTAGCAAACTGTTGCCGTGTACCGCGTACCACGCTACCGGATCCTTTGAAGCATGCTATGCAGCACGGTGTCACCCGGGCGCGCGCTTAAAAACATGTTTCAAAGTCGCCGGTAGTGCTGCACGCTGAAGAGGTAGTGATTTGCAAAAAGTCCTTAATGTATATTTATACATAAATGCCAATTTACCTCCGAATTGAATGGGCAAATTACGTATTACCTTTTTGTGATACATGTTTCAAGGACATTTTTGACACAGGATGTGTATAAAACTGGAGTTTCACAAAAACAAAAAAGTGCAACGCGGAAATGTAAGTTGAAAGCATAACGCCTTAATAATAGCAAGACTTGTTCAGCCGCTAAAATCAGCAAGCAATTCCTTTCCTGACATTTAGCGAAACGTAAGTCCGCTAATCTTTATCGAAATTATTGTGACTCCGGGGCTCAGAAAAAGTTCAGAAATCCGCACTTAGTGAATCGCAAAATACGTAATCACATTCTATGTCTCCCGGTTTTGTCCATAGGGCTAAGAGGCGTGTATTTTGTATTACATATAAATTCGGAGATTTCATGTGCTAAATTAACAAAGGGCTTCCGGCACGCCCAGCGAAGAACTGCGGATTGCTTTCGGCCAGTTGGGGATCCTTCGTCGTGTCACCAAAATCTCGGTATCGCGGTGCCTTCTGCGTAATAAGTTTTGATCAGATTGTGGGTACCTCTGTCGGGAAAAGAACCCCTAGGTTGGAGATTCGAACACTCTGAATAGTCTGAAGCGAGTACTATCCCACAAAACACTTGGGTAAGCCAATCGTTGCAATCTAATAAAGGAGCTAGGCGAATGTTGAAATTTAAGATATTTTTTGATCATGGAATCTCTTACACTAAGCACGATGAAACATAATAATCAGTATCAACTAGTTCCTTTTTTTTACATAAAACTTTTCTTCGTTTCTTTCTTTTTTTTTTTGCTGGGAGTTTCAAATTTTTTGAAGGTCAAGACGAAATCCTGGTAAAAAGCGTGGGCGGGAGGCTCGACACTGATTTTGTTGAGGGATGGGAGAGGAGAAATGAGGTAGGCGAGGAGGAGCTCGACCACCTGTGCGCACAGAAAGAGAAGAGCTTGAGAGCATGAAGGACTGGAAGATCGCCAGGTTTAACATCCCGACTAGCGGTAGTACATCGCTTCACCCTAGGAACAACTATCGAGTGTGCCCATGGTACGCGTTAAAAAATCTGATGAAGAGCGCCTTGAACACAGGAGGCTGGCGTCTGAAAACTCAGTGTGTCGCTAAACGTTTCGGATGCTAGAATGTTTCACAGATGCAACACAAGTGCATACAAATGTGCCACACAAGTCGAGCCATTTTATGATTCTTGTCACAAGCTGAGGTCCCCTTAGATTACATTGACTTGGTTTCTTAGCTGGTTTGCATAAAAAGTCGCTCAAAATATGTTTGCGTATTTATTTATTTATTGAAGGAGAAACACACAAAAACAAAAAAAAAGCAATTTGAGGCTTAGTTCATAGAGGATTAAAACATTGAAGGGTATTGGAAGCATTTTTAAACAGTTGATGATTAATAACGCGTCAAATAGAAGCAGGTGGATTTCTTCCATTAAATAAAATAAAATTGGGGGGACGAATGAAAGGAAAAATTACTGTCTAACAAATGAGGACACCCACTTTGAACTGTTGTTCAATGCGTGGTGTAATATAAAGCAGTGAAGAGAAAAGGCTTTGGTGTAAATATCGGCTAGTACGAGAAAAGGGAACAGTGCTTTTCGGACCGCGTAAATCAACCACGTACCTCAGAAACCTGGAAATCCGTGAGAATGTGACTCTGACCTGTGGGATAGAACGCGATCGCTTTGTGAACATGAGGTCACTGGAACAAACGATGAAAAAGAAAGACGAAATCTTTCCATGAGCCGACGTCCACCTAAGCCTCTTATCGTCGAAACAAGAAATGAGAGTGTGGGCGCCGGTAGGATCTATTCCAGCGAAAAAAACAATGTTGTCAGCTATAAATAAAACATATCATCTCTATTGCTGACAGGTGTTTTTCAGGTTTATAAGCAAATGCTACTTGCGTCGGCAATTTCAGATATTGTTTTGATGATTTTAGGCTGAGGTGAGCGTTGGCTCATAGAGAAATTTCGTCTTTCTCGATGGTTTGTTAATCCAAGTAACATCATTCTCTCAAACTTTCGCGTTTTATCCCAACCGCTAGCGTCCTTTCGCAAAGATTATGAGATTTTCGCGATGCATAGTTCATTAACACGGGACGAAAAACACGCTTCTCTTTAATCGCAAATGTCTGGTATATTGTGGAAAAACCAAGAGGTAAGCTAGTAGTTTTACGTCGAAAAGAGAAGTTAGAGATGAATATTTTTTTTACATGAATGTTACGCTTCCGGCGCTATTATAATTATAGCGTAGGTTGACGCTAAGCCTGAAAGCCACTGAGGCGCCCCAGCTCCCAGCTCTAGACATATTCTGCGTAATAACAAAAGTGACTTTGATGGATGTCTACTGTAAATCAATTTAGGGCTAAAAATCAGCAAACACCGTCGCACCGCGCCCAGGTGACCTGGAAGCTCGACGGTGGACCCGTGCCGGACCTGGCCCGCTTTCGTGTGGGAGACTTTGTCAAGTCCGACTCCGTGGTGGTCAGTTTCGTCAACGTCACCGAGATCCGTGTGGAAGACGGCGGCGAGTACGCCTGTTCGGCGTCCAACGTGGTCGGAGACGTGGTGCACGCGGCACGGATTGACGTGCACGGCCCGCCAACGGTGAGGTCCATGGGCAACATCACCGTGGTGGCCGGAACGCTCCTCCGGATAATCTGTCCCGTCTCTGGATATCCCATCCACGGAGTCGGCTGGTTCAAAGGCGAGCAGTCTTACCCATGCCTTCGCGCGCGCTTCTCCGTGGAAACGTGCACTCGTCGTCGTGTATTGATGCCCTAGCTTCATGAACGCACTTAACAGCAGTAAAGTGTTACCGAGGTCACACGTCACTGCCGTTAAATGTGCCTCTTTAACCAGCTTATCGTTGGCAGAAACTGCAGATCATATTTAAGCGTAACTGTGATTTAAGACACGAATCGGTCACACTTAACCTCAGTTACGTGTAACTGAGGCCACACTGAACTGTGGTTAAGGGTGCCCGAGTACCTTGGACATCATGGGCCCTAACTGCAGACCAAACTTAAGCTTTACAGCGGTTTAGGATGCCTGTCGTTGTCACAATTATCCTCAGTTAAGCGTAACTGAGGCCACGCTTAACTGTGATTAAGTTGCCTTGTAATTAAGGAATAATTGGCAGTAACTGCGGATTATGCGTAAAGGTACACTGCAATTAATAAATGAGATATTTTTAAAGAGCATAGATGGGACACGTATATTTTTCGTAATTGTTTCGCCAGAAGAAAGGGATTTTCGCGCAATGTTTTCGCCGTTAGGCGCAATTTAGTTGGAGGTCACGGCCCCCTCTAAGCCCCTCCCACAAATCAGTTGCCCCCACAAATTACTATTGGATTGGCTTGCCTGTTCTGCCGAACACGCTAACAAGTCTGGTGTCTCACTTTTGCGACATCCGGCACGTCTAGTCTGGCGTCTGACAACGCCTCCTAGTTGTTCGGTCAGACGCGCGGAAGCCTCCGGCATCGTCTGCTATTTCGCCACCGTCAATCGTCGTCTGATATTCCCGTAGGGTGTGGACATGAAGGCTGCTAGTAAGCGCCTATTTTTGTCTTCGGTCGTCTGCTATTTCTCCCCCCGTGTAAAAACATTTACAACGCTCGCATGACTTCACCACCAAAGCAGTGTTCCAGCGTTTTATCATGCGCGAGTGACGGCCGAATTCAAGAACCTGTCAGCGTCTGTCGATGTGTGGCAAAAAACAATCTAAAGAACTAAAAAAAAACGCAGTCGTTTTAATTTTATGTTTTTGTTATTTTTTCACATGTCATCCTCGATCAAGGTGCGAAAACGACATGACGCACAATTAAACCAAGACATAAAATTACTGGCATTGGCATGTCAGGTGAACTACAAAACTTGAGAGCGACTTGCCTTTTAAAGCAAAATAACGGGAACATACCTGGACCAAATTCATACGTATCGAACGCCCGATTGCATCCAATCAAATGGCCCACAAATTCTTACCTGTGTAGGTGTCTTCCCGGTGTTGGAATTATGGTCGCAATCACGATGGTTGCACGATTCACAGAGCAGCCTGGCCGCTTTTACGTGAACGAACATATTTATTCCGCATCAACACGTACAAAAAAAAGTAAAAAAGCCATATTTATCGAAATAGTTCACCTGAGACGCAAGCAAGGCTTGGACAAATCCTGGTACTAAAACAAGCATCCGCACAGCGCTTCCGAACGCGCGACCATTGCTTTCTGAAAAACTATGTTGGTTGATGAGATCTTCATTTAAACATCTCTGTGAACTCAAAATCACCCACACTCATAAAAACTGACAAGCTCAGGGAGCTACGCTCGTTCAGCACTCCTCAGACGCCCGTGGCCATGTTTATTAATGTTTCAAACAAAAGCACGAGAAGCTATCTCAGCATCAAAATTAATTGGGGGGCTAGTTGTTTGAACATTTAGACGGTGATTTTAAAAAGCGCTTTTTAAAACCACCGTCTAGAAGCAATCTCAGAATACATTTGAAAACAATAAAGATTTTATGTTGAACATTTGCTTCTCGGACATAGAAAATGGTCGATTAACATACTACTACGACACTGAGAGAAAAGTTTTCAACCAACCTTTCAGAAGTCAATATTGTCTCCGGTCAATAAGAGATATGAGCACCTTGTTAGCACGCGGTGCTACTTGGCGGTTTGAGACTTCAACATTCTGAAACTAAATTTCGTCTTAGGGCAAAAATATTGACAAAGCAAAATATTTTTCGTGGTAATTTTTGTTCCTTTAATAGATGGGTCCCTTTATGAAAAAAATGTTTTAATTGCAGTGTCCCTTTAAGCGTGACTGCGGTTTAGGACGCCCGTCGGGCAGCCTTAAGCTCAGTGAATGGTGACCTTAGTTACACCTAAAAGAATTTTAGGGTTTATTTCAAATTTGGGTGCGAAAGTAGGGTAAGGTTTACGTCCTAAATGAATTATGTCGCATAATAAGGACCGCTATTTTATAATACGCCACGAATGAAATCACGTCAAGTTATCTGTTATTTACCATAGTTTTAAAAAGAACCTCCAGCTCGTTTCCAAATGGTACCTGAGGACTCACTAAATTAATTAGAGAAGTCGATTAATAAAGACTATTATCTAAGCCTCTTAGCTTAAGCTGACGCCGAGTTTATTCTTTGCTAAGACAGCAGACTCCAACATCTGTGTTTTGAAAGAAACGCGGAATACGTATAAGACTGAGTACAGAATAGATTAGCAGTCATAGCATAAAACCCACTACCACAAAACGTTCAGACAGACTGACGGTCTTGTTCATCTTTTTGTGGGAATAGGGGTAAGTGCGGTGGCATATTTTCCACCTGAAGTGTTGGCATAAACGTGTTATTTACATTTTAAATGTATACACCGTAAACAACGCAATAAAAGCAACCTGCGTGAGCGCGTGCTTTCGTCTATACTTTGTTTCACTAAATTTGCAAGCGAAGCCGGCGACACATGCCCGAGCATGTTGCAGGGAACGGTGCTTGCACAGTACTACCGGAGATTCTGAAAGCCTGAGCTCGAAGCGGTACCTTCCGCTCAGCGCGAACCTTTGTGTAAAATGATACGCTAAACAAAGACAAGTACCTGTGCTATACTTCGTTTCAGCTTCGGTCCGAGCGCGGCCGATGTTATGAGCCAAAGGGCCAATCAAACAGCGCAAAAAGCGCAGCGTCATGGCGTGCTGTCTGCGCTTGATAGGACGAGCCGGCGGAGGAGCGCGCACAGAGAGACGGTGAATACCGGCTGGTCCTATCAACTGCAGAGAGCACGCCATGACGTTGTGGCTCTTTCGCTGTTTGATTGACCCTTCGGCTCATAACATCGGCCACGCTCGGACCGATGCTGAAACGAAGTATAGTTGCCTTGACATCGTTGTACATTATGCACGAAAGGAACTGGTTTCCCAGATACCGAAGTTATTTTTTTGTCGTTCTATATTTTGACGTCACAGGTGACCTCCCACTTCCGACCAATCACAGACAGCAGATGACCCACTCCACGTTGACAGTACAGAACGTTCAGAGGGCCTCCGACGAAGGCGAATACGCCTGCGTGGCCCGGAGCGGCAACTTGTCCGCCCAGGGGAACACCTTCGTACACGTTCAAGGTAATTGCACGTGAACATCGTTACCCGCGAAATACCGCGTGTATCTCTCTTCTCCGACTCGAGCCTTGTTTTCCCGGATCGCCGGTATGCAGGTTTGCGAATAACAAAAACGGTAAAAATAATAAAAGTGGCTGGATAGTTGTGTATTGTCTCTCCGTGCTGCGAGTGAAAACCCGTGAATAATTCAAACGTTCCCGCCTAGGATCATTTGAAGGCGCGTGACCCGGGTGTAGGTGCTTCAGTTCTTTTTTTTTTTATGTTTTTGGCGGTCTCTATTGGTGAAACCCGCCTTGTCTGAATCCCAAGGTAGTGTCCTCTCAAAAATTTACTTTTTTCTTCTTCATCCTATTCCACCCTTTTTATTTCTCCCTTCCTCTCTCTCTCGCTTTTTCTTTCTCTCTCTTAATATATATATATATTGATTCGAACCTATTTATTACAAAGCATTCGTAAAAGCTGCTCCAATAAGGTTTATCCAGGTGAGTAGTACGGCCAGAGGGACGATATGTGGGTGGCTAATCTTTGCGATAAGTCGGCTATGTAATTAAAATTAGTTAATTACCTGTTTTTAAATAATCAAAATAGACATATGATTTCAATTATAAACACGCTGAGCATAATTGAAATACACTAAGTCAACTCTTTTTAGAACGACTTGAAGCTCGTGGGAAACTCGGAGGCGCACCAACGTCACCACTCGTGGCAGCAGGTGCAAAGCTAGCAGTTGCAAAACGCGGATGATTAGATAAACATCTCGTTCCTCCACTGCTAGCTTTGCACCTGCTGCACGAGTGGTAACTTTGGTGCTTCCCCGAGTTTCCGCGAGCTTCAAGTCGCTCTAAAAAGAGTTGATCTAGTGTATTTGGATTATACTCAGCGTGTTTCTGATTGAAACCATCTGACTAATTTTACTTGTAAATAAAAAACAATTGAGGGAGTTTAGTTAATTATTCGACTTAATGCAAAGATTAGCCAACTATATGATGTCCCCCTTGCCGTATAACTCACTTCCACAAACCGTATTAGAGTATTTTTTACAAATGGTTTCTAGTAAATCTGGTCAAATTAAAATGGAACACACGGAGATATAGGGAAATATAAAGAGCCGCCTCGGAGAAAACCGCACGGATAGTTTAATACCGACCGCTACGCGGAGGCACTCCACACATACGCCATGCACCTGTCTCTCTCTCCCTCTATCTCCCCCTCTCTCCTTCTCAACATATATATATATATATATATATATATATATATATATATATGTGTGTGTGTGTGTGTGTGTGTCTTTCTCTCCCTCTATCTCCCCCTCTCTCCTTCTCAATATATATGTGCGTGTGTGTGTGTGTGTGTGTGTGTGTGTGTGTGTGTGTTTTCCTTTTATGATGTGAGTTGGAAGGCTGTCGTATAGAAGGCAGAGGAAGCTGCACACGGAAAATATGTAATAAGGTTTATTGTTTATACATTAGGGTGCGTGCCCGACTGAGACTGGCGATGGGCGGCAAACCCTCGTCTCGCTTTGAAATTTAGAATTCAAAGCGCGCCGAGACCATCCGACGGAGTACCGGATCTTGGCCGTGATTACCAAACGCGAGGGAGTGGCCGTCGGAAGATTTGTTTCACTTTGTTTTGTTTTTTTCACTGAAACGCACGTGATGATTAGAAGAGACCAAATTCTATCCTCAAGTATACCTGTTCTTTTTCCCCTTTTGGGCAAGGTTTACATTTTGCAGTCATGAAGGAAAGTACAAAATGTTTCATGATTTTCATTTTAGAAAACAGTGTGACTATTCGCAACAATGATCATTTGCAACGACGGAATATACTGTGGACTAATAAACAATGTCATGTTTACTTATTCTTTTCTCAAAAACGGATACATTCCCCGTAAAGAGGCTACTCGCACTTTCTCGAAATGTGTATTGGCTCTTTTAGCCATTCACTTTGTTGTCGGATCATCGCTGCATTCTTATCAAATCAAATCAGATCAAAGTTTATTTAACATCACCAAGAGACATCTCCCCTCATGTAATGCGTCCATTGGACGCCCTTGAGGTGAATAAAATGAAATGAAATTAAAGTACAAAGTACTAAACAAATGATGCAAGGAGCTCTAACAAAAAGCCGCAAGGGTGCGGCTTGACTGGGTCTGAGCCCCCTCTGCATATGCATAGTCCTATTGCAGTGTAAAAAACTGTTGTTTATACATTAGGGGGCGTGTATCGCTTTATATTCAAGAGATACGTGCCCTGGAAGGGACATACAACCATTAAATATTTTATGATGTAAAATATACCTACTTCTATAGCTACCCACTGCTTAAGAAAGGCCGAGCATGGATTGCCATATTCAAACTTGTAGTTCATCGATTTTTTTTTCGGTATTTTTATCGACTAATGTCGTTATCACATTGGATGGGGCTCGATAATGAGATTCTTAGGACTTAATCAATCAATCCGTAACTTTCTTATTTGCACACAGGGAGATGAGAAGGCATGAGGCGTGCATGGCTCGCAAATAGGCGACGACACTAGCCAACCTCCTGAGTTTGGCTAGTCTCGTCCCGACCTGGCGTTTCTGAAGCGATCGAGAGCTGCAGTATTTCCATAAGTATCGCCCGAAATCGTTTCCGATAGTGCCAGTTTCTGAAACACAAAATAAATTAAACACTAAAGCTAAGGTTTAGGACTTTTACGGGTATCAAATGTATAAGAACCGGCAGCGTTCTTCAAGGTTTGCGACTTATTTTGCAGCTGACAACTGACAATGTCGAGTCCTACACTCCCTAACTCCCGTAGTCACTGAGAGTTTAGTGAGCATTGAGCGTGGCACGTAGCCGAGCACCTTATTATCACTACGCAACCGATAAATCGCCGATTTTTTTTTTCGAATACTGCAGGTAGCGGCGTTGCCCAAGGAGGGGAGAATTGCATTGTGTGTGAGAGCAGCAGGTTTTCAGATGTGTCAGCGTTGATAAAGTCAACAGGCAACGACGGCAAGCTCTTTCATTGTTCCATAGTATAATCTAATAAGAGATTCAAGAAATGAATTACGCAGCAAGGAAGCTTCAACAAATTAATCTTCGCCTCGCGTGTTTTTTTTTTTTCAGCGGTCGTTTACTACAGTATGGACGATAAAAGGTAACTTCAACGTTATATTTAAACGAATAAAAAAAGACAGACAGCTGGGAAAATATTTTTATTACTGATTGAACTGGTAATTAAGCTTTAGATGCGCTTCTTTTTTGCTGGCGAACACGGACACTGGCACTCTGTGGTCAGTTTTCATTTTATTAGGTGTCACTGTACCCTATCCTCACATAAAATTAGGTTATCTCGGCCTTATTGCCAAGGGCGTTTTTGGTCCGCGTTTTGTGCTAATATATATTTCATGGCTTTCTCGTTTCTGTGTATTCTTCGTGTCTTGTAGTTGATATTTTACAAATTATCTGTGTTATGTATGTCGCGCGCTGTATTTTGAGTACAAAGAGATAATAGAAATACTCAACGTAATAATTATTCATTTTGGCTTAAGAAAGCGTTAATTTGCAATAATGCCATTATTTAGTAAGTACTAAATAAAGAGCTTTCTATACTCTCTCATTAAACCTCTAAGTGACAAAAGGATAGAACCGTGTAACATACCCTTGTCGATCAATAATACGGTGATGGCTTAGGCAATGCACTCTGAACACATATTATATTTCTGTAATCACAATATAACACTCGAGATCGTGAGCCTGAAGAAAATAGAAACTTTCAAGTCGAAGGAAGAGAGAAGAGAATATAATATATTTCACAAATTATTTGACAGATATCTTAAAAGCATTATTTCTTTTCTTGCTAGAAAAGTAACCCCACTCACAGGTTTTCTTCTTTCAATAAAGTTTTTCAAGAAAGGAGCATCTAAAAATTATGCAGTGTCTTCTCGTGGACGCAGCGAGTACAGACTTCTACAATAAAAAAAAAATAAACAATTTTTCGAGGGAGCTTATGTGTGCGGCGCTATCTACTCCTTGGCCAAACACACATTATTTTTAAACAGAACATTGAAGAAAAGCTATTTCTTTTCCTCTACCCAAAAAATGTGGCCTTGCCAAAGCGTATCCAGCACAGTCTCCTGAAACTGCCTCGTCGAATGAGCCTGTCGAATTGTCGTAGACCGCATATGACTCGCGCGTGACGTCGCCAACACTTGCTAGTGGTCAGTTCTAATTTTTATTTGCCTAGAAAAACAAATTCTAAGGTGTTCAAAGAATTGTCTATAAGTCACGCTCTGAGGGCCACTTCAATATCGGCTGATATGACGTTAGATCAAGCCATGTAAAGTTGGTTTCAGAATACGTGGGTCAAAAAACAAAGCTACCAGCACGATCATGTTCGTCTGATCGATGCTTGCACCGCACGAACTGGTAGATTTCTCAGGGACGCTGAGAGCGTGGGTCTGGCTCTGGTAGCTCCTACTACGCTTGCAGCATAAATTGAACGCTGTATAATACAGCGTTCCACAAAAAGGCTAATGCTCGGTCCGTTTTCACTGTTCGTTTGTACGCCACTTGCTACGCTAGATTTTTGAAGCGACAAACATGCGCGTTTTTGCTCTGTGGAGATCGCACGTTGTCCTATAGATTTGTAAACATCTACGGTGTATACGCTGCCTCAAAAAAAGACGTATGGAAGCTTCCATTATAAACATTGTTGCGTTCTGGACATGCTATCCTCGCTGGCCGAATAGACACACACACATTTCTCTTGACTGTTATTATTGCATGGTTGACGGTTCCTTTTTGTAAGCCATATAATGGTATACACATCCTTCTAGTGTTTACATATCCATAGCCAAGCAGCAATCCCCGAAGCCCGACACGCTCACGATCGTGGCTTCGGTAAACGAGCCTATCACGAATCATACGCAGGAACATTGGAAACGACTTCGTCCAAAAGCCTTCGATTGGAAACGGTCTATAGATCATTCAGGTATACAGGCATTTTTTTTAATCAATA